TTTTTTTCACGTTTGAACGCATTTTCAGTTGCACGAATATATGACGACGGACGAAGTAATGTCCGTATTTCACACGCCACATGATCTTGGTAAGTTGAATTTTCGTTCAAAAAAAGATTTGTTTGCACACGTATGTAGTGCGTTCCTAAATTATATAAAAAATACATACATAATATATTTTTGTTAACTTTAATATTATGATTTATAACATCAGCTAAAAAATTGACTTTTAGTACCCGAATATGAGATAGTGCCAGTAAAACATCGTCTAGCGAAAAACAGCGATTCGGAAGAAGGGTCCGAGATAACACTGGCAGCATTCAGAGAAAATCTCGAGATGTATTTACATCCCACAGAAGGTATGCTTGCCAGTAACAATACACCTGTATGGACTGTCACGTCTGATCCAAAATCACCCGAAGGAATGCGATACGATCAAATACGTGGGGTAAGTTTAATTCGCGATGAAACGAAATACAGACATTCTCAACATAAAACAATATCATGCAAAATGTTATCATTATTCACAAAATCGCGATTGTTTACGACTGAATTCTTTTTAAATTCTCTGTGCTATCTGGGTTATTATGAGTGACGGATCAACGTTTCCCTCTATTTTGTATTCAAGATTTCATACAAAAGAAACTAAAAGCACTCAAAGAAAAAAATTCTGTTAGCATTTTTTTTATCCCACATTGTAAGCAACCCGCAATAATTTTAATATTAATAAATTATTTTAACTCATATAAAAAAGTTAATAAATTAAAGTTACAATAATTAAGTACATTTTTAATTGACTAGTTTAAGTTAAAAATAATTAACTTTCTAACTTAACTTTTAACTGATTTACTAGCCATTACTCAACCCTAAATACTTACATCTTTATAAATCACATGAAAAGTTGTTTCTTCACTTTTTGTTGCAGGCTACGAAATTATTAGGAGTAGCGTACCAAGACGTAGACGGAGCAAGTGCAGTTTTAGTATCTCCCACTTCCAATGGTCAAGTGCATATAGTAAGTAATAAATATTTTGAGACTTCGATCTTGAAATAACTATAAAAATCCGACCACAATGTTAATAACAATATTTGTATAAAAAAAGCGTAAATAATAGTTTTCGTTTTTTCATACGTACACATACGTGTTCGCGCTTATATGGACTCAAATGAATGAGAGGAACTAAATATTCAAAATATTTTTATGCAATTTATGTATACAAGTATACATTTATGTATACATTTATGTATACAAGTATTTCATGTTGAATTTTGCAAATTAAAAATTGCAAACATTTCAGAACGGAGTAATTAAAAATTCTTACGTTATAAAATCCTTGCCACAACGGTTCTTGAAAGAGGTCGCGTATGGTGGACATAAGCTTCTCGAGCCGCATCACACTAAAAATATAACGAAAGAAGACGATTTCGCTTACACGCATCATCACGTAGTGTACAAAATACCACCGTTGAAGGGAGATCAATACAAAGATTTCAGTACGTTATACAAATGCTTACATATATATAGAACTTTAGAATCTCTCCGGTAAAGAACCATTACGTATAATTATGTGTGAATTGTATGCGATCATTGTCCAATCTACTTTCGTCAGACACGCTGTATATAATTTATATATACTTATATATAAATATTTTATATATAATTATATGAAAATATATATTTTATATATACTTTTATATAATTGTATATATTTCTATTTTTGTACGAGTGTTCTTCTATGAATGTTTGCTGTTGACCGTTTGCCGCGCGAATTCGCGCATTATGAACTACGATAAAATAATATATTGATTTTTTAGGTATATCGGATCCTGATGATGGAATAAAACATGATGCACCAGAGATTATTTATCCCGAGGTACTGGTAATAGTTGATCATAAGTTGTACAAGTAAGTATTTAAATACAATAATAAGATTGAATAACTTACTAAGTTCAATGTAATAATTTTGTTAGTAATATTTATTAGCTATTTTACTGGGTCAATGAAATTTTATTTGAAAATTGTCTAGTTAATATTAACTAACAGTAAGATCATACCAATGTTACAATCTCCCACTCAACAACTACTACATATATTATATATTGCAGTTACATTGTTGAGCAGAAAATAATAACGTTACTTTTAGTTATTGTTTACTTGAATTACTTAATTTATATTGTACACTATTATTTGTTTAAAAATATACGAAATAAACTCTTTTTAATAATAATTATCATCTGCTTGTCAGAATAATAAATCGTAAGTTTAAAAAAAAAATAAATTACTTCATTATAGAACTCTCGGCGAAAACATCCGTCGAGCCGTAAAATATATCATGGCATTTTGGAACGGCGTCGACTTGAGATATCGTTTATTAAATACTCCCAGGATATTATTCAATATCGCAGGTATCGTTATAGCTAAGGTATGCTTCTATTTATTTTACTATTATTTTGATTCACAAATATAAATTTATTTCTTCAATTCATGCATATATGCACGCGCGCGTCCGCATATACCGGTATTATATAAAAGTTTAGTGTTATAAAATATCAATATGTACAATGCTGCTATAACTTTGTTAGTAAAATAATTTACATATTTAGTACCTGTTATCAATATAATAGTGTAATAAAGTAAAACTTGATATATTATTTTTTACTACAGGATGACGATGCACTTCCATGTTTAGAGAAAAATCGCATCGAACTTTCAATGGTAGATTCAGATCGTGCTTTGCGTTGTACAGCGGATTATTTATATCGCGAAAACAGATTTCCGTACGATTTTTACGACATGGCTGTCGTCATGACGCGGTAAGCGTTCGTACCTTTTATTGTATTCCTTATTGTTTATTGTCTGTTGTCTGTTAATATGCATAAAGATATATACAGGATATCTGATAATAAGTGGGAATTTACACATATAAATTAGGTCAAACTCAATACAAAAGATCTCTATCATTTCGCAAACAACTACATAAAATTTTAAGTTATTAGTTAAAGAAGACTGGCAAATAATTATGCGCGATGCGGTGCAGGGCGTAATATTAAGTAGGATTTCTGTTGTGTGCTTGTACATTAGGTTAAACTGAACAAAGATAAATTTTACGATTTTTTGCAAATAACCAATAAATTATTAATTTATTAAATAATAAAAAATATTAAAATGAATGATTACACGCGATCGTTCGTTCTTCAACCTTCTTTAATGAAGACCTCTACGTGGTTAATTAAATAATGGGGTTCTGTTTTGTTTAATTTGTACACTCGTAGTCAGAAAGGTTGTCTGGTTTTTTTTATAAGTTTAAAAATATATCCTTCTTGTCCAATGA